TTTGCAGATTGTTTTCATTTAAGGATAGCTACGTTATAAACTGCAAAAGAGATATTTTTTCAAAAAGCCCATATGACCTGCTCTTTAAAGTTAAAGTTAGTATTATAACTTTAATGTTACAAAAACTTTATTTTTGACAATATTCACTCATCATAACAGTAAAATATGGCAATATACTGCAGTATTTCCTCTCAATCAGTAGAGAATATGGTTAACACCCGGTCATGCATGAAAAAAAAATACCATCATGTACCGTGAAACCGGTATAATTTTGAAAAATACCGTGATATAAATTTTTGGTCATACCGCCCAGCACTACTCTCAGGTATACTTTACAGCATTAGTTGAGAGATTTTTTTTTTCCTTGAGAAAATTTGCCATGTCCTGTACCTGATATATATCCAAAATAATCAATATCGAATCGCAAGCTTGTGAAAGATAATCGAATCGAATTGTGAAATTTGTGTCAAAACCCAACCCAATGACAACCCCTTGAAAAACACAAGCAGCAGAATGGGAAAAAAACACAAGGTCTTGAGATGCGCTTTGTAAAAGCTGAACGTATATTTCAACTCGAGCACCGTGTTTTTAGACTGCCGTATCATGCGCAAGACGCTGCAAATGACAAGACATGAGCACAACAACTAGCATGTGTTTACATAGAAAAGCTATGGGAAAGTAGTGCAGTGGAATGGAAAAACGCATTCTGTGTGAACGGCCCATTAGGCTCTATGTTGTTTCAAAAGGAATATTTCATCCAAACTGTACTGTTTACTTTACTGATTTAAAGTGAGGAGAACACAGTGATTTTTTTATTTATTTACTTTTGACTTAATCATTTTGCTCCATTTTTATTCTGTTGTGCCCACTGCACCTGTAATACACAAGTCGTACAAAACATCTTGCTTGAAACAGAATACGTGGACGTTTGGTCCTCTTAGACAAACAAAACTTTTCTTCAAATTGTGAATGGATTATGTAGAGAAACCGAGCAATGATATAATCAACTAACTACACAATCAATCTCTTATTTACACTGCGTGTGTGATTTTTTCTCTCGGTATAATAGGTAGATCTGCAAGCGTGTAGAACTACGTAAACTAAAACCATTCAAATTAATTAATAATAATTTGAAACCAGAGCACGCACACAGAAACAGACGAGCGTTTGAAAGCGGGTGCCTTCGAGTGGGCACAGACTTGAGTTGGTAGCCTACTACTGGCACTGTAAATAGACAGTTTTACAAACTCACCGGATCTACACCAATCACACAAATGACCCGTTCTGAATTCAAAACGCCAACAAAACATGAACTGCAATTTTTTCAAATATCCCCAGGAAAACCATTGGGAAACCATTAGTCTCGCTAAACGCACCTGTGCTGGCAAAATGAGTCACATTGAGCAATTTTTCAAAAATGAGTTATTTTCATTTGATTTGTTGGAATCGGGTGAACAATGACTGAGCTACACCTGTCTGAAGTCGATAGAGTCAGCAAAGTCAATTCTGAGGAAAATCTAGTTAAAGTTTTCTGAAGGTTCCACCTGCAACATTGCATCTTTTCCTCCAGTTCTTTTCTTAATAATCATTACTGTATTAATGGTCACAATATAGCTATTTTTTATTTTATCTTTGATATTGTAAATAAGAACAGATGCAAAAAAAACTGTAGAACAAATACAAGAAAAAAAGCAAATAGTGCATTACATTTTTAATTTTACATCTAAACAAAAGCATTAAAAAAAACAAATAATCAAATGCAATGTATAATTTTGACCCATACAATGTATTGTTGGCTATTGCTACAAATATACCCCAGCGACTTAAGACTGCTTTTGTGCTGCAGGCTCACATATGTGTGAAAACCTCAAATTTGACTTTTTTTGCCTGTAGCTCAAAATTAGGCCGTGCGCATTCCGACTCATTTTGCCAGCACGGGTCACATATAATAATATCCTTTTAGTTATCATCTCTAGTATTGCTCGCAGAAAAGTAAAGCTGTATCTTTGCCCATGCAATTTTTGTTTCAGTTAAAAAAAAATGTTGTTTCAGTTCATACCTGCTAGTGTTTCTGTGGACAGCTGCTCATGAAACACTTTGCAAAGACCAAAACATTGCTTTGCCAAGTAAGCCTCTCTTAAAAATGCCATTATGCCAGCTATAAACAGTTTTTTTTGCAAGGACAGTTGAACAGCTGCTAGTAAATGACTTGGGATTACGCATGCTCTTGTGATGCCATCAGCGTATTATTGTATTTTGAAGATGTTCCCGTGATGCTAAAGGTAGCAGCTAATTAAGTGAAGTGTTGCACAAAAAATGAGTTGAGTAGTAGAACGTAGACTGTATTGTCTTACTGTGGTCGGTGATTTGTAGACTGTATTGTCCCTCGGCTCTTTCTCCCCAGCATCGCACAGTGGAAAACGTCCAGTCCGTGAATCCAGTCGTATCTCTACTCAAACAACAAAACTGGCGTTAAAAGCGGCCTCGCCGTGTGTGTGGAGCGAGTCAGAAGTGTGGGGACACTCACACATCCAGCGGTCTCCGGGCCCCGATCAGAGAGCTCATTCCACTGGGACAGACGAGCCGGATCTCCACGCTCGCGCGCCGCGGATGGACGACCGTCACAGTAACAGACACGTGCTCCAGCGTCTGCATGCCAGACTGCCTCAGCTCAGACAGAGAGACTATGAACCAAAGAGATTCAAATGAAAGAGTAATACACTTATAGCTTTATTTTGCATTAAACAAAATCAACTGAAACATGCAACCGATTTCCATTTCACCACTGATATGAAGCAATTACAAAGAGAGCAGAAACAAATCCACGGTGCATGCATGACGTCTGATGCAAGACTAGTTTACCGACGCATTCACACATGGCACTGCCGTCCACATTCACATCTGAACACTAGTTGACCTTCACGTTAAACCACTTAAATAATCAGGCTTTAGTCAGACATGAATCTTGCATCAAGCCAGACAAATGTTAAACAGGGTGAGCAATTCAGTCCAATTATTGTGTGCTGCTTTATAAAAGACTACATTACTAAAGGTCATGTTGATTTAATAGAGTACATTTCCAAAAAATAAAAAGAACAGGTTCTGCGCCAGAAAATTACGGTAAAACTTTATTTTAAGGACCAATTCCAACTACTAACTAGTTGTTTATTAGCATGCATATTACTAGCATATTGGCTGTTTATTAGTACTTATAAAGCACATATTAATGTCTTATTCTCTTAATCCTAAACACCATATCTAAACTTAACAACTACCTTACTAACTATTAATGAGCAGCAAATTAGCAGTTAATTGAGGGAAAAATCTTGGTTAATAGTGAATATGTGTTCCCTATTCTAAAGTGTTACCAATATTTCTTATGTAAATGAGATTTTAATGATCAAGTTTGTAATAATTATCAACGGCCCCTTCCTGCTAAACCTTTTATACTTTACAGGAGTTATTAAAAGTTTAGTAACTCAGAAATCTCTTTTATTTCTATACAGAGCTGCAGTGGCAATGGTCCTGCTGACGCAGTTATGCTGCTGCTACACACACATTAATGCTTTAAAATAACACAACTGCAGTAAGAGCGTGAGTGAAGGACTGCTGAAAGAGAAGAGTGCAATTCTGAATTCTTACATTAGGCTACACTAACTCCATGGCATTTCCTCAGAGAGGCTTGCTAAAACAAGCTCAACACTCTCTAACCATATAGGGAAATGATCCAAGCTCAGGGCGAGAGACAGAGAGAGAGAGACAGACAGACACAGACAGAGAGAGAGAGAGAGAGAGAGAGACAGAGAGAGAGAGAGAGAGAGATCAGTTCATCATGGTAAACAATTAAAGAAAGGTATAAACAACAAAAAAAACATGCTAAAGGTTCATTATGTGTCAGATACAAACACTGCACACAACCCCTTAAAGTCATCTGCTGACAATGACATCTCTTCTCTGGACAAATGGACAAAACCAAGCCCCGTCCTACATTTTTCCCCATTCACAAAGCTGTTTCTCTCAGATAGAAGTCACAAGAAGGAAGAAAAGATGATCACAGCTTCTGTTTCATGCTGATATTAATGCTTTTGAGAGCAAGTGATTGTGTATAAACCTACTTATGAATGAAACTGACGTGAACCTTTCCTGAGAGGCCATTTCATTTCTGTTACACTATTAAAACACCTTTTCCACCAATATCCAAGCGACTTTAATCAGGTTAGATGTCATATTGAATTAAACGCGGATGAAAACGAGGCTTGCGGTCTTTATAATGGCACTCACTGTGTATTTTCACAAATTACAACCTTCAAAACTGTTTTGAGTTTTTGTCTACTGAAAGTGTTTTGGAAAGATGTCTCGTCAGCTGAATAAACAACAGTACAATCCACTGAACGCACTGTACTTCAGTCCCTCACAGCCTCGTTTTCATTCCTGTCAGACAGCAAATATGGAGCTACACTGACTAATGTCTATTAGAAACTGCCATCTCACTTTCAATGGGTTTCTTTGTACATTTAAGTTACATCTTAAGTAGTTAAACTTTATAGCTGTTTTTATTTAGATTTTTTACAATTCATCAATATATTTGAATCTGGAAATCCGATGAATATTAAAAAAAAAAAGATACATTTCTGAAAATTCTAAATGCATTAATTTGGAATTTTTCCCTATTTGTCCATACATTTAGATTGTACGGATAAAAGAAATAAATAAAATCACAAATGTATCATTTTCTAAATGTATTATTTAATATCATCTGTAAATGTAAATTTGATCCAACTTTGCCACATTACATAAACAGTGCTGCTGAACATCTCGTTTGAAAGATGTGAGCTCAATGGAGAAGGGAAACAACATTTCACTTTCACGGTATACTTGAACACATAAACACAGACAAACTTGTCCAAATAAGGGCAGACTAGTGCTGTCTGTGGCACAGATCCATTAACAGAGCACACAGATGTCATAATAGCCCTTTTTATGGTTTGTTCTGAATTACATATTAGATCGGAAAACTGTAAATATTTTGGTCACACTTTAGTTTGGGAACCAATTCCCACTATGAAATAACTATGATTTTGCCTCAATAAACTCCTGATGTGCTGCTTATTAATAGTTAGTAAGGTAGTTATGCATGGGGTTTAGGATTATAGGGATCTGAAATATAGTCATGCATAATTAGGCTTTAATAAGTGCTTCATAAGTACTAGTATGTGCTAGTAATATGCATGCTAACAAGCAACTAGTTAATAGCGAGAATTGGTCCTTAAAATAAAGCGTAACCAATAATTTAATTTCAGTGTGCTACTCCATCTAAATCTCTTACCATTCCAGGTGTGAGTGAGAGTTTTGGGATACTCTGGGATGCCCTCGTTGGTCTTTAAAACTGGGCTCTGGTAGGACACCAAAAAGGGGACGGACTCCCAGACCTGCCAGACATATAGATATAGACTCTCAGCTGCTTAATGAAGCCTGTGTTTCTCTGAAAGCAGCGCTGCTGTGATGGATCTAACCTTGGCAGCATTAACGAGCCTCCAGGCATTTAGCAATCCAAAGCCGTACTTGTGACTGTGGTGGAAACCGGCTCCATTGATTCCCCAGTCAGCCTGAGCGTCAGCGTCATGCTAAAGACATAAAGACACCTCAGCATTAAACTACTGACATTATTAAAACCTTAAACTGACTAGAGAGATGTAGGTTGTGGTCAGTGAAGTGTCATCTGCTGTTGATGCAGGTTTATTTACAGTCTTTAAATAATTTGCTGGTTTATAGAACTGCCGCATTAAAGCAATATCACAGCGATGATCTTGCTGTAGAACTGAATATCATCATGGCTGCTTACTATAGCTGACATTCAGAACAGCACCACTCCTGCTTAAAAATGCATGTTGATTACAGGTTAATGCATGTCGACAGCTACCTGTGTTGCTGTGTAGGTGATGATGTGCTGGACGTCCCGCCAGCTCAGACAGGGCCGCACCTGCAGCATGAGCGCCACCATCCCTGCAGCCAGAGGAGCAGCCGCTGAAGTGCCTGTGTGTCCGTCAGTACAGCCGGTGCCGCTCTGCAGCGACCAGTCAGACGTCACCTGAGAGAAACACATCAGGAAACCGAATCTAAAACCTCTAGATCCTCTGGTGATGCATGCGGGTTTAATGCTGCTAAACTCCGCCCCTGCAAGCTCACGCTCATCTGCATATCCACTAGGGCTGGGCGATATGGGCAAAAATTCACATCTCTGTATTTTTTGGCCGATTTGCGATATACGGTGTATATATATGTTTTTGTATTTGGATTAAAAACAATCTGTATTTAATATATATTTCACTTACCGCCGCCCAATGTTGTCCAACAAAACAATACATATTAAAGGATATGAAAACAAATAGTGAATGTAACCATGTAAGCCTTTATATTATGCGCAAAAAAGGGTTAAAATCACATTTCATTCTAACTCTGTAACATTGCAATCTAAACACAAAAATAAGGCTTTTAAAGTGTAAGTTAAATTCACTAAACTAAAAATTAAAATAAATGAGAACAAAAGCACAGTTGTGTTAGACTATTTTGATTACTTCATTACAGTCACTTTACAGTCAGTGCTGTCATAAAAATAGACTTACTTGCAGGTTTAAAACTCTACATGTCACTTATTCTAACATTTACAGATGGAGAATATACCTGTGAAATGTAAGTTATGCATTCAGGAAGACAGCACATCTCAAACACATTAAACAGCGCGAGTAGGCTAGTGTCTCTGTCAGCGGCACACACAGCCTTTCTGTCAGAGCCGCTTAAACTAATATGCGAAACCAAACTATAAACTAAGTCTTACCAGTTTTTAAAGGCCTTAATATGAAGCTTGTCACATGTTTAGAACAAATTGGATTATGCACTTTCTCTGCAGCAGCTCAGTCTGTCAGATGCGCTTGTATCAAACTACTGTATATCGATATAAACGGTATTGCCTCATATCGAATCGCTTATAAAGAAAATATCGATATATCATACAAACTCGATATACCGCCCAGCCCTAATATCCACGCCCACACCTCAACATCCAATCAGCATCCAGAGCCTCTAACGGCAGCTGCAGTGATGCAATGACTTTACCAAGTGCTGATTGGGTCTTTTATTCAGAAGGCGGGGCTTATTCTGCCATATTGCGTGTTGTGATGGAGACAAAAAGGTTTTTTCCACTACATTCTAATTTATTGAGATGCACCTGTATGCCTGACTTATGTTATAATCAAGCGTACTTTAACAGGCTACTGATACTCACTATACTGCGCAGCTGTCTGCTCCCACTGCTGAACGTGACGGCCAGCATAGACGCACACTCTTCTGCATAAAACGGCCTTTTGCCATTCTCATCAACCGCGCCTGCAATTACACATCATCATCATTCACGGTCTTAAAAAGAGCCTTCGTTTTCTTAAAGGGATAGTTCACCCAAAAATCTAAATTCGCTGTTAGTTTACTCATCCTCATGCCATCTGAGATTAATGTGACTGTATTTCTTCAGTAGCACAGTAAAGATCTCGGTAGTCGATGATTCAGTGGCTGCCGTCACTTCGACAGACATAAAAAGCAAGGAGCATGAAATGAATCCCCGTGGCTCCTGTCAATATATATTGAGGTCTTATGAAGCGAAACGATTGGTCTGTGCAAGAAACCGAACATTATTTACTATATTATAACACGATACTTTTCTGCAAACTGGTTCTTTCTGACAGTTTGTTTCAACTGGTTCAAATAACCGATTGATCAGTTTGTTCACGTAATCACACAATGACGTGACGTATACGCAATTATAATCAACTCACCTTTTTACATAAACCATGAGAAACCATAAACACTTTCATTTTTGCCCCTTCATACAAGTGTTCGGTCCGATTCGATGAACTGGTTCAGCTCGCTCACCAAAAAGAACCGGTTCAAAAGAATGATTCGTTCGTGAACCGGACATCACTCCGGACCGTTTGTCTGAGGCTCTGGATTACAGGTAATAATGTTCAGTTCAGTTTCTTGCACAGACTGATCGTTTCGCTTCATAAGACCTCAGTGTATCGTCAGGAGCCACGGGGATTCATTTTGTGTTGCCTGATGTGCTTTCTTTGACTCTCAAAGTGACAGTAGCTGCTGACTTGCATTTTATGAACCACCAAGGGCCACAGTTTCAGTTAAAAATCTGTTCTCAACACAAGTCGCCTACATCTTGGATGGTCTGAGGGTGAGTAAATTAGCAGGCGATTTTCACTTTTGGGTGAACTATCCCTTTAATGCTATACAACAAATATAGAAATACAGATGTAAATACAAATATTTAAAAAATACGAAATTAAGATTCTGGGCTGAAATCTGATTCAGAAATGTTCCTGACAGCTTTGATCAGACAAGGTTTAGACACTCATAAGTTAACTGAGCTGAGAAAGGTTAGATTCATTACCAATGGTGACGGTGTAGATGGAGTTAGCATAGCCGTCATAGTTGCAGTTGTCTTCATACTGTCCTCCATTACCACTGGCGACAACAAAGATGCTACCGAAACCTCTCCTGCCTGCAATAACTCCATGCTGCAGCGCCGCCTGTGCACAAACAACGGAACCATTCTTTGTAAGAATCGGACTAAAACATGGATTAATTACTCAAAACCACTGTTGGCTGAACTCTGGGGTTGCAAAAAGAAAATAGACTGCTGTTCAAAAGTTTGAGATCAGTAAGATCTGTAATGTGTTTTAAAGAAGTCTCTTTTGCTCATTAAGGCTGCATTTATTTGACCAAAATACAGTAAAATATTACCATTTAAAATATTGGTTTTCTATTTTAATATACTTTCAAATATAATTTATTCCTATGATGCGCAGCTGTATTTTCAGCATCATTACTCCAGTCTTCAGTGTCACATGATCCTTCAGAAATCATGCTAATATGCTGATTTATTATCAATGTTGGAAACAGTTTTTGCTGCTTCATATTTTTTTGGAACCTGTGATACTTTTTCAGGATTATTTGATGAATGAAGTTAAAAAAGAACAGCATTTGTTTAAAATAGAAATATTTTCTAACAATATACATACTTACAATACAATATACTTTTTATCAATTTAACACATCTTTGCTGAATAAAATAATTTATTTCAAAAACAAACAAAAAAAAAAAGAAAGAAAGAAAACAAAAAACACTGACCCCAAACTTTTGAATGGTAGTGTATACTATTAGAAAAAAATTATATTTTGAATAAATGCTGTTCTTTTTAACTTTCTATTCATCAGAGAATCCTGATAAAAGTATCACAGGTTCCAAAAAAATATTAAGCAGCACAACAGTTTCCAGCACTGATAATAAATCAGCATATTAGAATGATTTCTGAAGATCATGTGACACTGAAGACTGGAGTAATGATGCTGAAAATACAGCGCTGCATCACAGAAATAAATGACATTTTAAAGTATATTAAAATAAAAAAACATTATTTTAAATAGCAATAATATTTCACAACATTAGTGTTTATTCTGTATGTCTGATCAAATAAATGCAGCCTTGATGAGCAGAAGAGACTTCTTTAAAACGCATTACAAATCTTACTGATCCCAAACTTTTGAAAGGCAGTGTATCTGTAATGGCAGAACATGCATCTTGTTTTAAATGTAGCTGTTTGATTTTATGTAAGGGTCTTATTGGCATGTTGAAGCTATGGCTGAAGCACCAGCACCTTATCTTGGTGCAAGTACAGAGAACCAAACACACTGCTGAGGTGCAGCCAATCATATGGAGAAGGATGCATGTCTTCTGCTTCTCATGATTCATGATGAAATGCATTACTCTGATGAAATGTAAAGGATTAGTTTCAGACGGCCTAACCTTGCCTAAGGGATGCGGTCCATCAACCGTACGGCCATCATCATCCGGACCCCAACTACAGCACAAAATACACATGGTACCCATTTCAGTAAAGTCTCACATTAAAAGTGGGACAAGTTAACATTCATGGATTATGAACTAGTGGTTTATGCATTATCTAACATGAACTGAAAATAAACAATACATAGTTTTCAGCAATAATTAATGCTTATGAAAGTACAGTTGTTCTCTGTTCGTTCATGTTAACAGATACAGCTTTTGATTTTAAAAATGTATTATGTTGAAATTAATATTAAAATTCATAAAGAAATATCAATGTTAGTTAGTGTTAACTAATGTAGCTAAACAATGTTAACAAATGAAACCTTGTCCTACTACCCTTATTTGTTTTAATCGGCCTACTAAAATTGTGCTCAGTTGAAAATAAACAAATTGAACTGAGCATCAAATACTTATAAAAAAGCAAATAAATAAAAATAAAAATATTTGTGATAACAGTAACACTTTACAGTAAGGTTCCATTAGTTAATGTATTAACTAACATGAACGAACAATGAACAATACATTTATTACAGTATTTATTCATCTTTGTTAATGTTAGTTAATGAAAATACAGTTGTTCATTGTTAGTTCATGTAAGTGCATTAACTAATGTTAACAAGCACAACTTTTGATTTTAATAATGCATTAGTAAATGTTGAAATTAACATTAACTAAGATTAACAAATGCTGTAGAAGTATTGTTCATGCTTAGTTCGTTAACTAAACTAATGTTAGTTAGTTAGTTAAGTTCCTTAACTAATGTTAATTGTTAACTAATGAACCTTATGAAGTGTTACTGTAAAAACTATGTTAAAATATCTATTATATCACAAATTCTTCAGTGAGCTTGCACAAAAAGTACCTGCAGCTGTAGACGTCATTAACTTGGTAATGCTTATTAAAAGCAACAGCCTCCATGCTGTCTGTGAGGGGTCCGTCCAAAACTCTGATGCCTACGAGGACACATACACACACACACACACACACTCGCACACACACACAGACACGCACACAGACACAGACACGCACACAGACACA